TAACCGTCTTCCCTCATCAATGAAGCTTGAAGTAGACAGATACCATTAAAGAAAACTGCAATTTGTTAAAAGGAAGAGAACAACTGATCATGGGGTACCCAGCCCCAGGGATTACATCTACAACACAGCTCTAGAACAACCGATCATGGGGTACCCAGCCCCAGCGGGTACATCTATAACACAGCTCTAGAACAACCGATCATGGGGTACCCAGCCTTAGCGGTTACATCTACAACACAGCTCTTAGAACAACTGATCATGAATATTTCTGTACTTAATCCCTGGACATTTTATGTTTTCATGCTAATGTGGCTACTTGGTTATTAACATGGACATTGCACTGGAGGAAACCATGCTTTGATGAAAAGATCCTACACCTAGGTGCAAGGAGGTCCAGTCTTCTCCCTGGCTCAGAATCACTGTGACCTGAGTAAACCTTTCAACTATTATTATTAGCTGTTTAACTAATTATAAGATGACAGGATTAGAACAAGCAGAATTCAAAATACTGTGACTATTTCAAAGGATATCTGAGGATATTTGTTTTATTTTATTCTTGTTGGTTATGCCCTAAGTCAATAGACAGTGGATGGAAATATGAATACTTAGGGAGGACATGTTTGAAACTTTACATATGCAAAGACTGATATAACCTGTAACCCTTTGTAGAAATTCGTATAACTGGGCATTTGCTTCTAAAATTCCTAGCACTCCCTCCCTCATGTCGCTTCTCACAGCTCTGCACTTGACTACACTTCTTTCATGATTCCTTTACACAGATACTGTAAGGTTGAAGGCTTCATGCTGTACAGTTTTTATAGCCCTTCTGTACTGCAGCAATCTCTGATAGTTTATCCAACTATTACTGCCTCTGGCACTATCAACATGCCTTGTTGAACAACAAAAGAATTCTAGAAGACGGCAATGTACCATTAAGTGCATAAGCTGAAAATAGAACGCTGGATCTATAAAAACAAACAAAAATGCATTTAGATTAATAGGCATTTTACAGAACACTTTAAAGTGTACTTCAAAACTATGTGGAGTGAGCTATAATGGAGTAAATACCTACACAGGGCTTGGTAGTAAAGTTTTAACTGAGATCCAGGTAGAGGAGATTAATTAACTATGCTTTGTATGTAGTGTATGAGTGTGCACACAGTGTTCTTACTCATGCATAGGTAGACATTGGGTGTCTTTTTTTATTGTGTTCCACCTTAGTACTTGAAACAGGGTTTCCCACTGAATATAGAGCTTGCGGTTTTAGCTGGGCTGGCTCACCAGGGGATCCCCAGAATCCACCGTCTCCGACTCCACCCAGACAGTGGTTACCATGCTGGACTTTACATGTGAGTGCTGGGAATCAGAACTCCAGTCCTCATACTTGGACAGCAAGCTAAATGCCCACTGTGCCAGCTTCCCATGGCCTAGCTAGGCCTCTTTGTATTGCTAGATCAGGCATATCTAAATCTTCATGCACCTTGCAGAATCACAATGAAATACTAGACATTAAAACTAACATGATCTGTCTCTGTGCTATTATTTGATAAAAACACTGAAGCTAAATTTCAGAGGTGACATATTCTGCTAAGCTCCAGTGATGACTTGGAGAATGGAGTAAATATCCAGAAAGCAAACAAATTTAAGGGCCCACTAGAAAGGCTTAAAATACCTAAGGTGAAGGTAGTATAGTAAGGGAACTTTATTCATTTTTATTTAGTGAGTGATTCTAGTTTTAAAACAAATGAGAATATTTGGTCTTGTGTTTATAAAATTATTGCAACAATTTATTTAAAAAAAAACTTAGGCAGTATTTAATTACAGACACACAAAAACGTTGTGGCTAAGTATATCATTTGCTTTGTCTTTTTCTGTGTATGTGTGTATGTTTTCTTATGATGTGTGATGTGTGTGAGGGCAAGTGTGTGTGGTGTATGTGTGGAAGGCAGAGAGAAACTTCAGGTGTCAGTCCTTGTCTCTCTTGTTTCCATTGCATATGTCATGCTAGCTGGCCCAAGAGCAGTCCCCACCTTGCAGCTCACTGAGGTTAAGGGCTCACTCTACTGGGCCTAGCTTTAAACAGATTCTGGGATTCAGACTCAGGTTCTCTGGCTTCAGTGGCAAGTGCTTTACCTGCTGAGCCATCTCCCCAGCCCCAGTTTAACATTCCCCCACCTTTTATTGAAATTATTGTTTTCTCATACAATATCCTGATTGCAGTATCCCCTCCCTCTACTCTTCCCAGTTCCTCCCTATCTCCCTTCCCTCCCAGATCCACTCATTTTTTTGTCTCTCGCTAGAAAGAAACAGGCTTCTAAGAAATAATGGCAAAATGTGACAAAATAAAATATAAAACAAAAACCATGACATTGAAGTTGGAGAAGGCAATCCAGCAGAAGGAAAAGAGCCCCAAGCGCAGGCACAAGAATCAGAGACCCACTCGTTCACACACTCAGAATTTCCATAAAAATACTAAACTGAGAGTTATAATACATACGTGGAGGACCTGCGCTGCTTCACATTTGAGTCAAAGGTTCATGTGCCTGGCTCAGCTGATGCTCTCCTGGTGTCCTCCCCCTTTCTGGCTGCTACATTCCTTCTGCCTCCTCTTCCTCGGGGTTCCCTGAGATCCTAGGGGAGGGATTTGATAGAGACATTCCATGAAGAGCTGTGTGTTCTAATTAGGTACACCACCTTTAATCTCTGCACTTGGGAGACAGAAGCAAAGCAGGTGGATCTCTGTGAGTTCAAGGTCAGCCTGTTCTACAAAGAATTCCAGGACAGCTAGGGATACACAAAGAAATCCTGTCTTGAAAAATAAAAGGGAAAAGAGAAAGGAAAATAAAAAAAAAAATAGAGGTGTGTTCCAAGGTCTGTCTCTCTCTCTGTCTCTCTGTCTCTCTCTGTCTCTCTCTGTCTCTCTCTCGTCTCTCTCTGTCTCTGTCTCTCTGTCTCTCTGTCTCCCTCTCTCTCTCTCTCTCTCTCTCTCTCTCTCTCTCTCTCTCTCTCTCTGCTTAGTGCCTGGCTGCGAGTCTCTGTATTTGCTATCTGCTGCAGGATGAAGCTTTTCTGATGATGACTAAATAAGGCACTGATCTTCGAGTGTAGCAGAATGTCTTTAGAAGTCGTGTTTTAAAAGACCAATAGTATTTTCTTCTTCCCTAGGTCTTTGAGATACCTAGTCCCTGGTTCTTGGTCACCTAAGCAGGGTCACGTATAGGTTCCATCTCCTGAAGAGGCCCTTAAGTCAAACCAGACATTGGTTGGTTACTCTTACAAGCTTTGTGCCACTATTGCCCTAGCATATTTTACAGGTAGAACAGCACTGTAGATCAAAGTGTATATGCCTGGGTTAGGATTTTCATTTCTCTTTTGGTAGCCTGCAGAGTACCTTCCCATACCAAAGACACTATACCACAGAGATGAAAATTCTATGTAGGCACCCGCCTGACTTCTCCATGTTCACTAGATTGTATAGGTGTTGTCTTCAGCAATAGGGCCTTGCTGTCAGTTTGTGGAGAGCAACCTATAGTCTTAGCAAAAGCCTGGATTGTTTGGGAATTTCCATAAGACCCCTTTGGCCAACAACTCAATTGGATGTAAGCCAGTCCCTGTATTGGAAGCTTCATTTGGTGACAAGATGTGGTCAGTTGGGACTTCATCTCCCCCATTATTTGGGGACCTCATTAGGATCTCCTTCATATATTTTAGAGAGTTTCCACCGCACTAGGTTTACATACCACCCCTCAAATGCCTCAGTTCTAGCTGTCTCTCCCTACATAACCCCTTCCCACCTGATCCTTTCCTTCCCCTATACACACCCATAGTCTACCCATAAAATCTACTCTATCTCTCCCTCCCAGGGAGATCCATGTGTTCTCTCTATATACCTGACCTTTATACCTGACCTCTCTGGTTATGGATTATTGTTTGGTTACTTACTTAATGGCTAATATTCACATGTAAGTGAATACATACCATGTTTGTCTTTCTGGGTCTGGGTTCCCTCACTCAGGATGACCTTTCCCCGTTCCATCCATTTGCCTACAAATTTCACTATGTCATTTTTAAACAGTTGAGTAATACTCCGTTGTGTAGATGTACCACATTTTCTTTATCCATTACTCTGTAGAAGGACATCTGGGTTGTTTCCAATTTCTGGTTATTATGAACAGAGCAGCAATGAACATGGTTAAGCAAGTCTCTGTAGTAGGGTGTAGAGTCCTTTGGGTATACACCCAAGTGTGGTATAGCTGAGTCTTGAGGTAAACGGATTCCCATCATTCTGAGGAACCACCATATTGATTTCCATAGTGGCTGTACATGTTCGTTTTCCCACCAGCAAACCAGATAAATGTTCCTCTTGCTCTACATCCTCACCAGTATGAGCTATCAACTTTGTTATAGATCTTAGCCATTCTGACAGGTGTAAGATGGAATCTCAAAGTAGTTTAGATTTGCATTTCTGATGGCCAAGGATGTTGAACATTTCTTTAAGCATTTCTCAGCCATGCTGAGATTCCCCTTCTGAGAATTCTGTTTAGATCTGTACCCTCATTTTTAAATTGGACTATTGGTTTCTAATATCTAGTTTCTTGAGTTCTTTATTTATTTTGGATATTAGTCCTACATCAGATGTGGAGTTGGTAGAAATCTTTTTCCATTCTGAAGGTTGCTGCTTTGTCTGAATGATGGTGTCCTTTGCCTTACAGAAGCTTTAAAGTTTCATGGGGCCAATTATTTATTAATTGTAGATCCTGGTGCCTGCACTAATAGTGTTCTGTTCAGAAAGTCTTCTCTTGGGCCAACGTGTTCAAGGTTATTCCTCACTTTCTCTTCTATTGGGTTCAGTATAACATTTTTAAAATATTGTACTTCAATTACTTTGTCTTATCGTTTCATTTAATCATGATTTTAGTAGTGCAAGGGGATATCTTCTCTATTAGACAGCAAAACGTTGCTGCAAAGGCGCAATTCACTTTAAAACATGAGAAACTCCGTGCAAATTTAACAGGACTGGGTACTTTTATTATACAGAATTGAACAAAAAGACTCCCATTCTTACAGCATTTGCACAGAAGAAATATTGAGACATTCCTTTGTGGGAAGAGAAAGGGCTAACAGTCACAGCTGTAATGGGACTATATTTAGCACAGTGGACGCCTTCCAATTGTGTATTCTCTCTTGTTAACAGATTACAGAACAAGAAACATAATTCCATACTCTCAGAGAGTCTTTCATTTAAAGATTTCAGAGCCTGCAATAACGCTCCATCTGAAGCAAACAGCACTTAATCCCATTTGGATGTCTTTCTCCTCGTGTGACGATGCCCTTCACTATCAATGGCTTCATAGAGGTCCTTTTTGTTCTCTTGTGCTGTGTGCAGATAACCAATGTAAGCCACACAAAGGGAAAGGGCTACCAGTCCAAAGGCCATTACGGGTTTGTTCTGAGAGAGAGAGAGAGAGAGAGAGAGAGAGAGAATTACAAAGTGCCAGTGAGACTAGTAATTTCAAGAGAGCCAAATATCACACTGCACTTCCTTCTTGGCATGACAAGTCATTATTATCATCCCTGCTTCCTAAAGACGGCATTTTCATGCCCATCATTTTATTCTATCAGCTTAACTCCTGAGTATTTACAGCTGATTTGAGACTCTTGCTTTTCATCTCATTCTTCTCTTTGTAGCCAGGTAGCTTAGACCTGTGCCCTAGGAAGGTAAAAACTGAGCAAAGATGGAGACGTGGACACGGTTCTGGAACTGGCCCTGGCCCTTCTCTGAGCTGCCGCTTAGCTTATTTTATGAGAACGTGAGGAATACAGTCACATGCTACTTCTCTTGCCCAACACAAGGGTAACAGTTATAACTTATGTATAGCAATGAAACAGATGTAGAAACATGTGCGCTCGCTCTCTCTCTTCTTTCTCTCTCTCTCTCTCTCTCTCTCTCTCTCTCTCTCTCTTTCAGCTGCTGGATTTGGTTCCTGTTCCCCACTCATGCAGAGGACTGTTGATCTGTGAGTCTACTCCTAACTAAAGAAACCTTTATTATACTCCATTCTAAGCTAGTGTGGGACTACTTTATCACGATCCTCTACACTCCATGTCTACTTTAGTAATTCCCCGTGCCTGAGCCATCTCTCCAGCCCTTGTCTTTACCTTCTAAGACAGAGTCTCAGGCTGTAGACCCAGGCTGGCCTCAAACCTGCTTATCCTTCAACCCTTGTTTCCCAAGGGCTGGGATTACAGGAATGAGCCACCATGACCAGTTTAGGGGCCTTCCTAGTCGGCATAAAACGTCCTGGGTACAAACCCGATACTACAGAAAAGTGAACAAGTCTCCTGGATGCAGGTCTTACAGGTTTAATGAAGAGCTCAGGATTCACAGCTCGAAATAAGGTTGTCGTGTGTGTCCCTCGGAGGCCTGGATTTTCAAAGTTCCTCTCTTTTGGTGGGTCTTTCTTTGTTGCTGGAGGCTCAGGTTCTGAGGACATCTTGACTACTGAAGAATATCACCTAAAAGCAATGCATATATACATTTCCTTCATACTTAGTTTTTGATAAACCTATCTTTATTTGAAACAAAGCCTTGCTTTGCAGCCCTTGCTGGCCTGGAACTCCCATAGTAGACCATGCTGGCCTCGAACATGGGAGACCCACCTACCTCTGACTCCCAAGTGGTGGGATTAAAGGGGTGCTCCATCGGGTTGGCCCAGAAGCTCTTAAAACAAACAAATAAGCAAACACACTGTTTTTAAATTCTAGATGTGCTCCAAGAATGATCACCGCTTGATTATTTTTAAATGGCGCTTTAGGTTTTGTTGGGCTCATCGACCCCTCCCATTTGTTTTCGCTCTTGCTCTCCCTCCTTCCACTCTGTCTCCTCCCTTGCTCAGTTAAGCAAACTGAGCAGAGTCTGGAAAATGGTTTGTTGGTCTCACTTACACTGTAGTCGGGGCTAAAGCGGAAGAGAGCTGAGGACAACCCACTCCCCTCCGCATTTCCGCCGTTTCTACTTTCCCTCACCAATAGCTCTCCCATAACAGCCTGAGGGAAATACTGCCCTCCTCTGTACCTCCTCCAGCAGCTTCAGCCCAGCCCATAGGCTGCCATCCTTTGCCACCCTTCAGGACCCCAAAGCTCCCCTGTGCAAACAGTAAGAATAAGCAGCCATCCCTATCCTTCCCAGTCGGCAACTCTCCGATGAGCACAGGACATGCTAGCCCCTTAATCTCAACACCCATTTCTCTATCCAGTCAAGTCCAGTGTGTCTTTTTTGCCCCCTGATTCTTCTGCTCAGGATAACAACGTCTGGGGACTATTTGTTTTCTTCTGGGTATCATTCCTAACACATAATGCAGAGGAGTAGGTTAAGAAATGCCCCACAGACTTGATAAAGACAACGCAAGGGGAAGACTGCAACTTCAGGAACAGTAAACGCTATGAAGATTTAGCATTCACACTTAGGCGCCAGTGCTCTGTCTGTACAAGTATTCTTGTTTCTTAAGGCTTCGGTTTCACAGAAACGAAAAGCAGTGTTTTTGCAGCATTACACTTACAGAGAAACCCAGATGCTCAATACTTTCGCCGCAGTGACCACTAAATATCCACCTTCGGCGTTTAACTGGGTTAATTACTTTCAGGAACATCAGCGTACGAGAACATTTCCCATTCTCTACACTTGCCGAGTAAAGGCTTCTGCATCATTTTTTTCTCTGTCTATGCTATGGCTATTATACGGCTATTACTGCCAGGTCTTCTCCCATCACTGCTGTCTACTTTCATCTCAGACCATGTCGGATTCACTAACTCTTGAGTCAAATTGTTCCCGGTAACCAAAGTCTTTAGAACCTAACTTGTGATAGCTTGTGACAGCAGTGACATCAGCAACTGAGGGCAGAAGCCATTTAAATACGTCACTGGCTGTGGTATTCCTCTAGGTGTGGCGGGAAGCTCTCACAGGAACTATGCCTGCTTTCTGTCATTTCATCATAGAGACGACTTCATGGACCACTGGGTCTCAGCGACCGTGTGACTGCATCGCTTCAAGTGCAAGCTCTCAGTTTTTTTCCTCCTCAGCTACAATTTGAGTTTTTCCATAACTGGTTTCAAAAGTGAACTTCCACTGTGTAAATTAAACTTTGATCTGAAGCCTGCTATAAAAAAAAAAATGAGCTGGCGGTGGTAGCCTTAATCCCAGCACTTGGGAAGCAGAACTCTGTGAGTTTGAGGCCAGCCTGGTCTACAGAAAGAGTTCCAGGACAGCCAGGGCTACACAGAGAAACACTGTCTCAAGAAGGAGCCAGTCCAATAGGATCAGTAAGTTCCAGGTTCCAGTGAGAAAATCTCAGACAAGATAGCTGGCTCTGGAGGACATCCGAGGATGACCTCTGGCTTCTGCACACATTTACACATATGTGCGCTGGAACACATGACTACCTGTGCTTGTACACAGAAAGTTCTCTACAGCAAAGTCGGCATGGCTACCTGTATTACATTGTACATGAAAATAAAGACAATATGAGAATTACTTTAGGAAAAAAATACTCCATTTTCAAATATATATAGAAAAAATGCTTCAAATGGACAAAAAATTTAATGACAGTATAAAAACACTATTTAGTTTCACTTACTACATTCTTTAAATGCTTAAGAAAGCAACTTCGAGTCTTGAGTAGGACACCTTAAAAGAGTTTAAATTGCCTGGCAGTGGTGGCACATGCCTTTAATCTCAGCACTTGGGAGGCAGATGATTGGTTTATAGAGTGAGTCCCAAAACATCCAGAGCTTCACAAGGAAACCTGTCTCGAAAAACCAGTAATAATAATGATAATAATAATAAACAAGTTTGAAAAAGAATCAGAGGACTTTATGGCTTGAGGAAATCAAGCAGAGACTTATCCTCAATTTTGGTACTTTATAAAAGGACCGGTACTACTGATTGAAGCATTACAGATGCGGATTTAACATTTTTTTTTAAAGGAAAGAGGTTAACAAAATAGTGGTCATCTTACAAACCAACCTTCCTAGCACCGGCTGTCTTTTCACTAGGTGGGTAGGATAACCCAGTTCTTCCAACTTCAGCCAACTCTCCATCACCTCACTTTCTTTCTCGAAAATTATTTTTGAGGAATGTATTTTGCACAAGACACAAGACCCATAAGATTTGCTATCACTTAAATTTAAAAATTAATTCTAACCGTTTTTACTGTAAAATAATAACTTTAAAAATATCTCTTTCTTTCTCTCTCTCTCTCTCTCTCTCTCTCTCTCTCTCTCACACACACACACACACACACACACACACACAAACACACACGAGTAACTTTTCTGGCTCGTGATTTGCCCCACTTGTGGATTAAGGAAAGGTTTTGTCACTGTGGCAGGCAATCTGGAAGCTGTACAGCTATACAGACCCTGGTCCGGTTGTTTAGGCTCCAGAAGTAACAACGATCAATTAAGTCTGAATATTTAACTGTCAGAAACCTGTTTAATTGACCATAGCAACTTCTGGAGGCTTCGGATGCATCTGGTTTCTTGCTCTCCACTGGGAACTGCGGGTAAATGACAGCTTAGCAGGGACCGACCAGCCTGACCCGAGGCCGCCACAGGAGCCTAGACGTCGCTTGCAAACCGCGGTACACTCCTGCGAGAGCCCTCAGGACCTGACCTTGGGCAACCGCAAAGACGGAAGCTCCAGCACGGACACCGACGCGGGGCAGCTACACTCAAACACCCCGGGTCCGTGCGGTCCGCAGCACTCACCTTCCGGCCCTCCCTCCAATGCGCTCCCTCCGATGCCGGCCTCGGACTGAGGGGAAGGCCGCACCACAGCGCCACCTATGCCCCGGAGGCCGCAGAGCAGGAGCCCGGGCCCTCTCCTCTTCCAGGAGCCAGGCACTGGAACTCCTGAGCAGGCTGCAGTTTGCTTTCTTGGGGGTCTTTGACTTTCAACCTCTCACATTCAAATAAGCTTTCGTTTCGTGGATAGATTAGATTAGATAGATAGGTAGATAGATAGATAGATAGATAGATAGATAGATAGATAGATAGATAGATAGATAGAGATAGATAGACAGATAGATGATAGATAGATGATAGATAGATAGAAGATAGATGATAGATGGATGGATGATGGATGGGTGGATGGATGGATGAATAAATAGATATATAATTTTTAAATATTTTTGTGTAAGATAGATAGATAGATAGATAGATAGATAGATGATAGACAGACAGACAGACGTGGAATGTGTATGGCTTAATAGAGCACCAGATCACAAGAGCCACTGAGGTTGAAAGGCAAAGCCTTATTCAGGGTAGAACTGCTTGGTGTTCCCAAGAGAAGGAAAAACAGCACCACCGAAAAGGAGTCTGGGGTTTTATAAGATGCTTTCTGTTGGGAGGGGGTGTGCTGGGCTTGCGTTAAGGAACAAGGGATTGGAGTTCTGGCTGTTCGAACAGCGGGTTGTTGTCAAGCCTTTCTCCTGAGAAAGGGAGTACGCAGACTTCTGAGAAGTATAAACCGTTCACTTTCCATTTCCCCTACAGGGCTGGGTCCCACACGGGTCATCCATCTTCGTGTCTTAGCTGACTCTATCTTGGGCCAAAGATCTGGGTTCCCGAACATAAAGTTTTCTGATTTGTGGGGGAAAGCCTGAGCTCTGTCTTATTCCATTTTAGGATCCATATACGCAATCAACTCGCTGATGTTCTTCTGTTAGGGCCTAGAGGTTCAAAGATAGCAGGCGTCCCACAGCTCTGAAACCACAGACAGGAATGCTGGCTACACATCTTGCTGATTTTTTTTTGTTTGTTTGTTGGGATATATTATATAATAGCAAACACCTCAATTTTCATGTGTGTTTAAGTAAAGCTTTTGCAGATGAATGTTTTTATTGTAAAACTTGTTCTTTCAAGTAAAACTTAATTCAACAGTTGACTTTGTTGTGCCTAGAATGATAAAACTATGGCACAGAGATGAAAGCATTTAGCAGATCAGAAGTCTTAAGAAATAATCGAAACCATGGATAAGATCATGCAAAGTCTCTTAGCAGTTTCACATCTGATGCATCCTTTATTTGAGGACAGCATATTAAACGGACATTGAAATAGCTGGATAACTTACTGTGCCCACACCATGGCATTGGCCAGGTGTTGCAGCCCTCTGAAATGACGCACCTTGTTCCTTGGAGGAAATATGTGCTGTTTAAAGGAAGAACCAGCCATGCATGTGTGGTGCTTTTCAGCTGATAATGCTGAGGCATGGGGCAGGGATTTCCAAGCCTCAGACACTCTGAGTCAAGCCAGAGGCAGGGCATTTTTCCCTGGCCCTGGTTCCTACATTTCCCCCACTTTTTTTTTTTTTTTTTTTTTTACTTTTAGTGTTCAGTGAAGAGGGCAACATTATCATTATACTACTTCCTGTTGTATGAGGGTGCTGAAGTCCATGGGAGCAAGCTTGATCTTCATTGTCAGGGCATAACTGGGGGGTCATAGGCCTCTGGTCCTATAGTCAGGGGCTGATGTTCCTGTAATAGCAACTGATTAAAGGTTTGGTTAGAAATCCTTTGAATATAGACAAGAAGTTTATTAAACAGGGTGCAATTAGTAGGATTAGCAAAGGGAGGAGAAAGGGAGTTAAGGAATGCAGTATCTGACTTCATAATAGACTGTCAGCAATCCATTGGCCAAAGGAATCAAGCTGTTCCTTCCGTGTTTGGAGATCTGTCTGGAGTTATTGAGTCTTGTCTCTTACCATATCTTATTGGTTGACAGAGAACCAACCTTCCTCCCTGAAGAAGAGGCAATGACCACCCTTCTCCACTATTAGTAAATCTAATCCTTGCCAATTTTATAGAATCACAGTAGCCAGAGAGGCTATTTGTCCCTGGAGGGTGAGAATGGTCTGAACCACCTGTTGGAGGTCCTGGATGAACTGAGAGGAAAATTGATAGTAGATAGTTAAAGAAGATAGTCCCACTGTCCCAGTGGAGATGCCAATAGTTATACTGTTAAATCCAGCTTAACAACAGGGATTCTATTTCTATTCAAGATGTCATATTTCAGCTCAACGATGTAAAAATTACTGAAGTTATTTCAGTCCAGGTGTCTAGGGAGTGGCCAAACCACAAATGTTCTACCCTCCTCCTGGTAGGTTGGCAAGGGCAAGACCACAAACTTCAAAGACTCCCTGATAGGCTAGAAGTTTGTCACCGTGGAAAGTCCCCAACAATTTCTCCACCATGTTCTGTTATGATTGGATGAAATTATGGTGTTGTCTCCTTGTGATTTTTTTCCCTTTAAAATACTTGCTTTCCTCCACTTCAAGGATGTGGCTTGGATCCTGATATCTGATATATATATATATATATATATATATATATATATATATATATACATACCAGCCTTTTCAATAAATTTCCTGTTTGCTCAAACTTGGTCCTTCCTAGTAGATTCTCAGACCCTAACATTTGGGGGCTCATCTGGGATCTAGGTATCCACTGGCTTGATTCTATAGCTCTGGCAACCTTGGCAATCTCTGGTGGTGAGTACTAAAGATTTTAAGTCTGTAATGCCTTTTTTCTGAGGACCCAAGAAAGGAGAAACTGGATGTAGTATTACTTCTAGGGTCATAGGGAGATGAGAGAATTCTCAACCCCTTATCTGGCCTCTGGGCTCCCATGTTGGAAGTGTCTGAGGCATCAAGTTTCTGAGACTTAGCTGAGGAAGCAGTTGTTCTAGTGGCTCTGAGTGGAGACAGCACTACAGAAGACAGATTTCAATGAATCAGCTCAACTTTATTCCAGAGTATAAGGAATATCTAAGATTGGGGGGCCTGAGGACAAACCCTAATTTCCATTGAATGCCATGCTCTTATCACAAGGCTTGTTATGGTGCAGTAGGGTCCTATAACAGAACTCCTAGCCCAAGTCCTCTTAGCAGGAATCTGTGTCAATGGTCAAGCTAAAGGTGAATCAGATGCCTGATTTAGGAGCAGCTTTCAGATAAGGTCAGCCCTCCAGGCTCAGGAACATTGTTCAGATAAGGGCATGTAGAGAACAGGAAGCCTTGCTGGGAAGGGAGAGAGTTTCCATATTACTGAGTTTAGAGAAAGCTGCCAAGCTATGTCAGACTGTTAGGAAAGTCGACCTAGGGAAAGGCATGACTCATTCCTTCATAGTGACCCCCAAAAGCCCTTGTCCCCTCCTGGGACAAGACTTGATGCACAAATTGAGAACTCAGATTATCCTCAAAGATGATACATAAACACAGACTTTCTCGGAAGAGAGTCCCAACTCTGTAATCTTTGTTACTCTTATCCTGGAGAAATAATACCTCCTTAATTCACCAGGAGAGGGAGCCAAGAGATGCCCCTATTAAAGAAGCTTCAATTAAAGTTCCAACTGGTGTGGGCAGACTATAACCCACCCAGATTAGCACAGCACTTAACTCCAATCATAGGCAGCTGAAGCCAGGAGCAGCACCTGCCTGGGTTAAACAATACCCGATGTCATATGAGGCACACAGAGGCATCAGGACTTACATTACTTTAGGGAGGTGGTAGTTCTGGTCCCCTGCCAATTTCCCTGGAACACTCCATCTCCCCCAAAACCAATGATTTCAGGTCCATCCAGAACCTGAGGGAGGCAAACAAATGTGTCGAGGACATACACCCCATGGTGCTAAACCCTTACACTTTGCTTTAGCCTATTAGCCCCAGCAAAAAAAAAAAAAAAAAAAAAAAAAAAAAAAAAAAAAAAAAAAAAAAAGCCTTGGACCTGAAGAATGCTTTTTTTCAGTATCCCTTTGGTCAAACAGAGCCAGCCCCTGTTACCTTCAAATGAACCAACCTAGATACTGGGTCCCATGGCCAGTTGACCTAGAATTGACTACCACAAGGATTTAAGAACTCAACAACCCTCTTTGATGAGGCCTTCTATGAAGACCTGGGTGAGTACTGTCTCAGAGCTCTTCAGGTCACACCTCTGTAGTATGTGGATGACTTGCTGGTAGTGGGTAAAGATGAAGCTTTCTGTCAAGAGGCCACTGAAGGACTATTGCAGACCCTACAAAGTCTGGGATACCAAGTGTCAGCCAGAATGACTCAGTTTTGAACCAGGGCCGCTACCTACCTGGGATTCAAACTCCACAAAGGTAAAAGGGCTTTGTCTGCCTCCCACAAACCAGTTGTCTTGAGGCTCCTAACTCCCCTCACCAAGAGACAGGTGTGGGAATTTCTGGGAAGGGTAGGGTACTGCTCTGTGAGAGAGATTTCTCTCCAGGCAGTCTCCAGTTGGCAGCCTAATATAGACTCTCAATTCAGACTTTGGTTGTACTGAGTGGTCTCTGGTTTTTTGTTTGATTGTTTTTTTTTTACCCCACAACAAAGACAATGTTTCAATTATTAGCAACTATGCCCCAAAATGAAAGGGCACCCACATTTGCAAAGGAAATACCACTAAAGCTTAAGACACACATTGACCCTCACACATCCATAGAGGGAGATTTCAATACTCCACTCTTGCCAAAGGATAGGTCTTTCAAACAAAAGCTAAACAGAGAAATGTTGGAGCTAACAGATGTTACAAATGAAATTGAGATAACAGGTATCTACAGAACCCCAAACACAAAAGAATATACTGATTGACCATCCTGATTCCATCTTAGGGTAAAAAGCCGTTCAGTTATAAGGTCAGAAGAAGTTGTTTTTATTTGTTACAAAATTCAAGTTTGACTCACACATACTCTAC